GTAAAAATCATGAAATTTTTATATATTTCTAAACATGTTGATAAACATGTTAGAGAAATAATTTCTTAAATATCACTTCCCATTTGTGAGAAATAAATATTTTAACACAGATATTCTAAAACCTACTGAAACACCCGATTTTGTAAAATCAATTCAGCATAGTAATTCAATTCAAAAAATTATAAAATTTTGGAAAATGGTTATAAACATGTAATAGAATATGTTAGAAAAACGTTTCTCAAATTGCATTTCCCATTTCTGAGATATCATTTATTTTGTTAACCATTCAAAACATAAAAACTCAACAACACATGTTTTTGACAAAATGACTTCAAACAAGTTTCAAACTTCTTTTAAATGGATTAATGGACTTTATAAAAGATATACAATAATTTAAACAAGTCTTTAATCTATAAACACATACTTTTTCAAATAAACATCTTTAATTCATAAATGAAATCATATTTATTTGCATGTATAGATATGAAACAAATACGTGTATATATATAACTATATCCATTTGTTTCATATATATATATATATGGCTAAACATATTGCTAAACAAAAACGATAAATATAAAACGTGGATATATGTAAACAAGTATATATGTTTCATATTTATAAAAACGTGAAAATTACGAAACCAAAAATGATGTGTGTGTGTGTGTGTAATATGATTGAGCTTAAAGTACCAACACACAGAGCATAAACCTAAAACATTATACCCAAGCTATGAGATCTTCAATATGCTTGACTTGGTTGCGGATGAAGCTTGATCTTGGATCTTGTCTTGAATGTGCAATGGCTTCATACCGATATTCCGCCCACCTCCATTTGATGTGATCGTTTAGCGCAATTCCATCCAACCTTCAACGCATTGTTTGCCTAGAATAAATAAGAAAACACAAGCACTAGACAAACAATATTAGTTGTAAATTGTTTGTTAAAACATCATCAAAATAAAAAGGCAGAAGCCAAAACCAAACCGACGACGTGATTCGAGAAACCAAATCAAACAAACAAACGAGAGAGAAAGACCAAACGAACCAAAAAAAACGGCACAAACACAAACAACCGATTTTAACGTGGTTCGGCAAGTTGCCTACGTCCACGGGGCAAGAAGAGGAAGAGGTTTTCACTAATAGATAAGAAAAGTACAAACTGAGATTACAAATCACTCAAAACAATTAACTAATCCCACCAACAAAACTCTTAATCTCTCCAAATAAAACCCTAAACAAATAGCTCAGAAAATATCTCTTTTCTGTGCTCCAGATATCCCCCAAACAATCACCAATCAAAAGCCAAAGAAACCCTAAAACGTGTTTGATATTTATACCAAACTCAAATCCCAAACAGAACAGGAAACAATAAAACATGCCCAGACCCGACTCACGGACAGGGTCTCGCGATCGACCGCCGCGTCACTCGCGATCGACCGCCGCGTCACTCGCGATCGACCGCCGCGCCACTCGCGGTCGACCGCCAAAAGGCCTAATTCATACGCAGAACTTGTGAACGAATTCGATCGACCGGCCTTGCACCGTGGTCGACCGCCAAACACCAAAACAGAACTTGAGCTCCAAAACATGTTCTTCTCCAATTCTTTCGCCTATTCTACAATTCTCCACCTCGGTGAAGTTTCTTCCAAAAAACTGAGCCGCACCAACCAAATCAAATGTCTTACTTGTTGTGTCCAGTACGAAGTAAAACAAAATCACGACAACGGACTCCATCCACAACAAGTCAAGACCCAAATGAGAATGCGAACAAACTCCAAAACGTCGGTATCAACCCATCTAATCAGTTGCATCAAAACTGACTGTCTATGTATGCTCTTGCCCAAGGAATCAAGCATTCACGTAGTTCACCCAACGGCCTCCAAAGGCCCTCAATCAAATAGAAAAGTTCTCAACTCTTCACCAACAAATATGTGGCTGATAGTTCTCCCAATGGCCCCAAAGTGAAACAAATCAAACACCTCCACCTGAAGTGAACTAATGGCCGTATCCAAATGAGAACTATATTCACCAGCTGCACTCGAATCAACCAACTCATCATCTGCATCCAAATCCAAATGATTCCCAAATCTGTATCACATCAGCTGGAATCCCAAATGATGCAGTATGATCTGGAGTATGTGAAGTAAACTCCATCCAACGTGGAGTAGCATTACCCTCCACCTGCTGCGATATTCAAACAATCTGATCAACACTCTCCACCTGCCGAGAGACAAAAGTGACATACATGCTCAAAACAAAATTAGAGGTCTCCCAACTGATAACCAAACGAGCCTCTGAATCCCAAAGGTGCAATTGGATCAAATCTTACATTCTCGATGTGACCAAATGTTGGGCAACCAAACATCCGACGCAACCCAAAATCTAAAGCAGCTCCACCAGATCCAAAATCTCTAAACGCAGCAGTCGGCAACTTATGACTAAGATGATCCAAATATGTCGAAGCTCTAAAACTTCTCTGCAATCCAATGCTCGACAACCAACGTCGATCCTCCTCGAGCAAGGAACGACCCATCAAAAACTATCATCTCATCTCGTCGCCCTAATGTTTCCTCTCCAATGAAGTGTCGCAAACTGTCGTGAGCTCGGCACAAACGCAGAAATAGGTCCCTCTTGTACCTCCCTCTAAAATCAAAATGAAGTACATTCACATTTCTGCCAATACACTTCTTCAAATATTGGAGACTACTAGGACTTTATCCAATCGGGATTTGGTTGCAACCCAAGTATGCCTAGAACAGCCACCAACAAAGAAAACCAAAATATCAAATACCTCCCAATGATGCCTCATTGGAAGGCCCCCAAATACCTAAATAAACACCGCCTAAAAAGGCCCCTCGATCGATGGATAGAAGTGTCAAACTCCACCTCGGTCTTCTTGCTCATACCAATGTGCTCATAGGACTTTAATTTACAGGTCAAAGCACTTCTCAATAATCCAATGCACCGCATCAACAATCAAATAACCCAGCCACAAATCCTTCTTTCTCGACCATCTTTCTCAAAGCACCAAAACAAATGCGGAACAAACGAAGAATAGATCCAAACTCCAATTAAAACCCTAAGAAGAGTCTTCGAAAGATCTCACCCCACACGACGGTAGACAAGATCACCAATAGTAAAAATTCCACATTTATCACCAACTGAAGCCCTAGACGAACTTCTAAAGCAATCTTTATCACCAAACGAAGCCTTAGACGAGCCTCCAAAACGATCTACTCCTCTAAATAGCCTAAGCGTAGCCCAAGTTCTGATACCAATTGTTGTGCGCGGTAGAAGCCAAAACCAAACCGACGACGTGCTTCGAGAAACCAAATCAAACAAACGAACGAGAGAGAAAGGCCAAACAAACCAAAAATAACGGCACAAACACAAAACACCAATTTTAACATGGCTTGGTAAGTTGCCTACGTCCACGGGGCAAGAAGGGGATGGGGTTTTCACTAATAGAAAAGAAAAGTACAAACTGGGATTATAAATCACTCAAAGCAATCAACTAATCTCACCAACAAAACTCTTAATCTCTCCAAATATAACCCTAAACAAATAGCTCAGAAAATACATCTTTTCTGTGCTCCAAATATCCCCTAAACAATCACCAATCAAAAGCCAAAGAAACCCTAAAACGTGTTTGATATTTATACCAAACTCAAATCCCAAACAGAACAATAAACAATAAAACAGGCCCAGACCCGACTCACGGTCGTCTTACGGTCGACCGCCGCGCCCCTCGCGGTCGACCGCCAAAAGGCCTAATTCATACGCAGGATCTGTGCACGAATTCGGTCGACCAGCCTTGCACCGCGGTCGATCGCCAAACACCAAAACATAACCTGAGCTCCAAAACCTGTTCTTCTCCAATTCTTTCGCCGATTCTACAATAAATATGTATCAACTAAAACAAGCAAGCCTTTTATGAATTACATTTCGTGGTGATGTTGATGATTTCATGTTCTGAACCTTGTTGAGGGGTTACATTGTGAGGATCTTTTCAGCAGAAATTTAAAAAAAAAAACATAGAGCTGTTATGATTGGAAATATTAAGTGGGGCAATAATAAGTTACAACATATTAAACCACTAATTAAATTATATTTTTGATAAAGTATAATAAGTTAATGTACGTATAGTAACCTTAACACGATGCTTGTCTATGTAAACAAACGCCTAAGATTCACAATGAAATTAAAAATTCAAATTTCCAAATGAAAATCTTAAAAAGTTAACTAACATGTTATATTTTAAAATAGATAAAGGGACTTTGATTTGACGAAGAACTAAATTGAGAAATCATTTGATAGTTGCAGTTTATAGTATAAATTATTTTAGAAATCATTTGATAGCGAAGTGATTACAATGAGAGAGCAGAAAAAATGGGCTGGAGTGAATATGGGGTTTCTTTTCCAGCAGGCCTAGCCCAAATGTGTCGCGCACGTCAAACCGGTTACCCGACGTCGTTATCCACAGTGTCTCTTAAGATGTTTACGTGGGCCCCAACTGTATATTCTGATACTTCCAAATTCTAAAAGCACACCGATTCAAAACCCCCAACATATTTTAGTGGGCCCTTACCACTCAATACTGAAGTCCCTTATCTCCGGGCCCTTTTGCTAGTTGCAATTATACGTCTCTATAAGATCAAACCTCTTGCTCAAGAAAGAGAAAGAGAAGGAAAAAAAAACCCTTTCTCAATCAACGAAGAACACTCAGCCCCTGTCCCAATCGCGCTGAATCAAAACCCTAACCCTAAAATAAATTAAAATATAAAATAAAATTTCCAGAATTATTACAAACCAAAGAATTGCATCGCAAAAGTGGCGGAAGAAATTTGATCGAGAAGCCGCGAGCCTTGAAAGATCGTAGCTCCGGGGCGGTCCAAATCCGAATGCCGCGATCGATTCGATCCGGTTCGCAGCTGCGATCGCCACGCCGCCATTGGAAGGCCGAATCGCGACGATTCGCGGGCTGTCTCCGTCATCCAATTGGTGATCCGACTCCGATTCGTCGAAGCCTCATGCTTCTTATAGATTTTGTCGCAAGAGAGGTAAGATTTTGATAAAGTTGCTATTTTTTGGTGAGAAATTGTGTTAAATTTGATTTTTTATTGCAGTTGGTAAGAGTGTTGATGGGGTCCATGATTCCGTGATCGTTCGGATGCTTCAAGCTGTGGCCGTGCCTGTTATTGGGAGTGCTTGCCATGTTTTTATGCATGGGCTTAATCATGTTAAGGTAATTTGAGGTGGATTCAGAATTTTTTTTGTTTGGTTTTGTTTGTGAAATCTAGAATTTGAGTGTTTGATTGATGTCCATCCAGGTATATGGAGCTGAGAAATTGCATCAGGCATTGCTGCAAAGACCTAAAGGGAAACCCCTTTTGACGGTATGTAGAAGTTTTTTCATAAATGTTGTGTTATCCATCAAAATCAAGGAAAAGAAGGGTTTGATTTAGGGTAGAGAACCCTAAAAGAGAGAGTGTTCATAAGCTTGTAGCCAGATCTCTGACATATAAGGTTGAATTGTAATAGTAACATATTGGAATTTATCGCAAGATATAGGTTTCCTTTGCTGTTTCAATGTCTTAATTAGTGAGGGTTTTTTTTTTAGTTTTCATGATTGATGATGTTTGTGAGATTGAAAGGAAAAAGAAAGGAGAAGGCATGAAATTACCATCATAAGTCAGTCTTTGGTTGTATGTTGTATTTTAATTCGGAGGTCTCTAGAAGGTGTTGATGATGTTTAGGTAACTCCTGTGTTCTTTTCTGCTGTAGTATGTCTTCTGTGTTGGAGATCTGAGGATGCTCTCAGTTATTAATAAATAATAATATGAATTAGTTACATCCCAGTGCCGTATGGTACAATATAATTACATAGGTGACCCTGGGGTTTCCATATCTACATGGATAATGCTACGGTTACTGACCGAGATTACATTGGTAACCCTAAATAACCCTAAGAATACTTTCATTGGGGTTATATGTGTAATCTCATTCAGTAACCTCGGGGTTATCCGCGTGGATACACAAACCCCAGGTTAACCCGTGTAGTTACACTATACCAGAGGGTACCTTGATGTAAATAATCCTAATAATATAGATAAGCATGTTATCTGGTCAAGAGTTTGATGTGACTATAGTTTACATGTAGATGTCAAAGCTTTTTCAAATATTTTAAATTTCAAGTCATGTTACTATTGCTGAAATGTTTTAGTATCTAGGATGTTACAGTAAATATTTGCAATATTTCATTACAAGTTAAATTTTGCAATATTTAGTTATGAAGCTCATTGTTGTATGGGTCAATTAATCACTGTCTTCCACCTCATTCCAGGTAAGCAATCATGTAGCCGCTATAGATGATCCGTTTGTGGTCGCTTCATTGCTTCCACCAAACATTATGCTGGATGCCCACAATTTGAGATGGACACTTTGTGCAACTGATCGCTGTTTCAGCAATCCAGTGCTATCCGCATTCTTCCGATGTGTCAAAGTTTTACCTGTTTCTCGTGGTGATGGCATTTATCAGAAGGTATCAAATCACTTTCAGAGAGTTCTTTCTTAAACGACTCCGATGCTTTTTTAAGGCTATACATCATGTCCAACTCTTTATGTATTCTTTTGAAGACTTTCATATTTCTGCTGATTTACTTGATGTCAACAACTTCATGTATAAATGTGGAGCTACTCTTTTGACTTCTACATGAGTATCCTAATATAAATATATTCTCTTGCACCAGGCAGTAATATATGTTGTGTAAATTCTTGTCTGTTTTGTGGATGTATTTTCCGTGGATCAATCTTGGGTTGATTTTGCTTAATATTGTTTCAACATATGGAAAACTTACGTATTTGAGCTGAGGAGCAGGCATGTTTTAGTACCTGAGTCTCCAGCCTCTCTAAATATGCATACTCATTTTTGTGCCACTTTCTTTCCTGATATAATCATTTTTATTTTTCTTTATATTTTAATTTTTTAAAAGCCTCATCCAATTTGTACATTGTGTTATTTGTACTCAGGGAATGGATATGGCTCTGTCCAAGCTAAATAATGGTGGGTGGGTTCATATATTCCCCGAGGGAAGTCGTTCTAGGGATGGTGGGAAAACTCTCAGTTCTTCCAAGAGAGGGGTTGGAAGGTAAGTGGGAAAATAAAACAGTAATTTGAGCTTAAATGCTGAATATTTCCATAGACTCAAGTATTAACTCAAAATTTCATGGCCGGTTTGAATCATTTTGAAATAGCTCGTTTAATTTTTAAAGTATATACTGATATACAGAGTTATCTTTACCATTCTAGTGATTTCAAATTAGCACAGCCCCTAATCAACCCATTATTAGCAGTTTCAAACCTTGAGCTGATAATATCCTGCTAAATTATTTTTCCATCCTTACGTATGAGTGAGCTTTGTTTTTCCATTTTCCTTTTCTGTTAGGCATGGTATTGAAGTGTATATTAGATTTCTAATAAGACCGAGCTCTTGCTTCCATAATTTCCATTTTTCACAATGAATTGTTGGAACTAGGAAGATACCTTTCATGCTTATCAAGGGACATAAAAGCTGTCAGTTATTAACATGCCGAATTTTTCCATTTCAATATTTCATGCATACTCTGTCAAGCAAATAAAAGTAAATCTGGATCTTCAGTTTCAATTTATGGAATATGGAAAGAGCTTCAGTAAATCAGTCTTTTGTCCAACAAAGGAACCATGCAAAATATGGTCATATTCTAAATAGTTATAGAGGTGGCTGAAAAAATGGACAAGCTCCAAAGTTCAGTTATATTGAATTGGTGAGTAGAAAAAAGTTATCATACATTCATGAAGTTATGCACCCGTGATGAACCATCAGCTTCACATTCAAGGAACCATGATCAGTTTTGGTTTTTGCTATGAATGCAAAAGAGATAGTAGGATGAGAAAATGCAGACACCTATGCACAGCCTTTGATGAACAACAAATGCATGTACATGTGCATGCCTCAATTAAAACATCCTGAGTAAGGTCTGGTACAAGTGCATATATATTCATGGCACGAGAACAATCCAAGAATTGATTTTTATAAAATGGTTTCCTGATACAATAGGACATGTGAAAAACTCCAATCCAAGATATGATGTTGGTAATATATCAATATGGTTTGCTACTCATAGCTATGATTTCCGACTATTTGCCTGTGGATCATCGTCAAATTTACCTAGTGGCACCTGTTCATCCTAGGTGATTCTCCGTTTATTGATTTCTTGAGTTTTACTGGATTTTGTACTAATGCATGATCATATTCCTTATGGATCTTCCAGGCTGGTGATGGATGCAGACAGCATCCCAATAGTCATCCCCTTTGTCCACACAGGAATGCAAGAAATCATGCCCGTAGGAACAAAATTCCCCAAAGTCGGGAAACAGGTAGATCATCATTTATAATAAATCACTTTGCAATCTTAATGCACGATTAATTGTAATTAATCTTTCTGTAGCATATCATAATTGGCCCTTGTTCTAAATGAAGCTTCTCCTTTTGCGCTTATGTGCTATATTTTTTTATTGGAAATTCTTGCAGGTTACCGTGGTAGTTGGTGACCCAATCTATCTTGAAGATCTACTCGTCTCCAAGGATAATACCCAAGATGCGAATAGAGGAACTCTATATGATGCTGTGTCATCAAGGATAGGTAATCGCCTCCAAGAGCTAAAACTTCAAGCTGAGAGATTAGCTTTGGAGCATCAATTTGAAGTCGAGCAGTATCACATGCATGACAAAAGATATGAATATGATATTTGGCAGCAAGTCGACTGGGAAGCATTTGGCATGGAAAATGTTATGTCAACTGGTGGAGACACCTCCCAGATTGTGAAACAAAGATTTCCAAGCCAGCAAAAGAAATCCCTCGAACAGTCCCAGAAGCCCGAATCCTCTCATCAAACACTCGGGATGGGCTTCAGTTATGATGGTGGTATTATGTCCAGAGTTCGTAATTATGTAAACCCATCTGAGTTTATGGGATTTGCTGCGAGAGGCTTGTTCATGAATGGTCAGTTGCTTGATGAAGGTACCTTCAATATTCAAGAAACTGGTCCGGTCAAGGCCTGGAAAGAGTTCATGAATAAGAGATCATCAATTGAAGGGCATTTTAAGATTCAAGAAGCTGCTCCAGTTAAGGCATGGAAGCAGTTTGTGAATGAAAGATTGCCTGATGAGGGTGGCTTTAGAATTCAAGAAGCCGTTCCAGTTAAGGCATGGAAACAGTTCTTTGAAGGCAGTGGGTTTAATATGCGCAGTTGTATGTAGTTTGTACCCCAGGCCTTAACAAAACAAGCGCAGGCTCAGGATTGAGAGCTCGTGGCTGTCTTGAGGTTCTACTAATTCGAGTAGCTAGTTGTACTGTGTTAACTCATTTTTGTCCGTTAATCTGAAATTTTTGGTACATTTTAGCAGTACTGTTTCTGAAATAAGCGGGCAGCTAGTTGTACTGTGTGAACTCATTTTTGTCGATTAATTTGAAAATTCTGGTACATTTAGCAGTACTGTTTCTGAAATAAGCGGGCTTCCTGTAGCCTGAACAATAACAGATGTATGATGCTTTTTGTCAGTTCTTTTGCAAATATTCAGTTGTTTCTGGATTCTTCCTCCATGTTTATATTTGCCCTCTACAAAATTATTGTCCCTCAAGATTTGATAGTAATGCTCCTAAGCAGATTGGCCAGTTACAAAATATTCACCCAGAGTCTACCATTTCTCACTAAGTTCCATTACCAAATAATCAGTTCAACATCAACATAATTCTAGCACCAACACATTGAGAAAATGAAAAATCGTGGAAGAAAGTCAACATATATCACCCTTTTTGCGAAAGTGAAAATGTATTGTATCATGTAAGAAACTCAAAACATATATCAGCCTTTGTACGAATAAATACCCAGAATACTCTGAATATCACAAGTCAGAATTAATAGACCAAAGCCAATTTCTTCAAAAACAAAATTTTCCTGCATACACTACTAGAAACATAAAACAGAGAAAGTCACAACTAAAATACAGTACATCAAAAATAATTTTCCTAT